CGCCTCATTGCAGTTAATACAGTGGGCTCAGTTTAGGCCACTATTGTAGGTATGAAAATCAATTCTGAACCGTACAGTAGCTGCGTGATTTACAACAATATTGTAATCCTGCTCGAAAAGGAAATCAAAAATGGAAATAAAAGTAAGTAAAGATATGAATCATTTTTTAAAAATTCAAGTAGATAAATTAAAAACGAAAATATGGAAAAATAGAAATGGAAAACTTTCAATCCACCTTACAAGATCTTTCTTCATTGCGTTAATAATTGCCACTCTAACGACTGCTTCATAAAATGTCGATTCCTATGTTTACTACATCGCTAATCCTTGAACACCCATTCTTCTAAATCAGAAGTCTACTATCAGTAAACTTCCATATAATAAAAAATCACCTCCATATTTCAGACAAATTTACCTAGAAGGACTAAAACATTCATAGCTCATTGGTGAACCCGATGGGTTACGCTGACCAACAGCAGTTCATCATTGAGTAAACAAACAAATTGAACGTTCTCACGAACGAGAAAACAAACAACGAACGGCCATCGTCATCCACATAGCAAAGAACAAACAGCAGGAAATGAATGAGAAATGAAGCTGTGTAGTTTTCGTAAGCCCCACCCTCGGTAACTTCGCCAGCAGAAAGGCGGGTAAGTGATTCTCCTCAACTACCGTATGAATAGGAATGATCGTAATGCCCATCTTAACACCAAGAGATCCAGGTGGACTGAGTTGCATTTATAGGGTGCGAAAGTGACCGTTAGAACTACAAACCGATATATCTGAGCTCTTAATGATCCACAGTAATTGAATCAGATATTTAGAATCCTTGCCTACAAGACAAATGCTCTATTACTCTACGGAAATGAAATTCTGACTTCCTGGAGCTCAGGAAATACAAGTTTTTCACTTTTTCTCCTGAAAGATCGTATTTCGAGGACAAAAGCAATTCAGGACAGCAGAATTTCGTCTAGAACACGATAAAATAAATAAATATAAAGCTCTCGGAGTTGATCAATCCCTTAGGGATGCGCCATGCATTCGACTTCGTTGAGATCGTTTGGAGGTGATTGAATGCATATTTGGTCTTTGACAACTTGCAATAACAATAACTTGCAGTGGTTTACCGATATAACGACTCAGTGCTGCTATCCTCTCAGACAAGTCTGGCACCACTTTGCCGAGCGCTTCTAGCCACTGCGTCACACGATAGTGTTCCTAAATATATGTATCGTTGGTTTTTACGGCTGTGGCGCTTACGTGAAATGCTTTAGAGGCTCGAATTTCACTTCCAATTTTTTTCCCCAAAAGTTTAGTTATAAGCACATTTACAACCGAAATAATACTCCATATACGTTATATATTCTCTTAAGGGGCAATATAACAAATTCACTTCTTCGAATATATCATCTTCTCAACTCCTCAAATACTATCTAAGAATTGTCGCCACTTGTTCAAAAAATCGGAAAAGTTAACGACATTGTCTCTCTACATTAATTTCAAACTCACTTTCTTTTAGAAACTTTTACTTAGTGCTTTTTTTAAAGCAGGGTACAATGTGAAATACAACCGCAAAAGTGCTGAGACATGAGCAAAACTCGGACCCTCGGGTGGGCTTCGAACCCATGATTATCCTTTCTGGGAGGTCACGTACTGCTCGTTACACCAACTAAGCCTTTGATTTGCCTTTCAGCCAATTTTTCTACTGATTCCCGTTGAAGGGTGACTGTTGATAACACCTTTAGTGCAAAAAAATATGCTGACAGAAAGACAAAGTAATGGCCAAGGTTGGTGTAGTAGACAGCACGTAGGTCATCGAAAAATATAGTTGCAGGTTTAAAACTCATTTATTCTTTCGTCTTTTGCTCATATATCAACATCCTTAAGGACGCGTGTGGCGCAATGCTCGAAGGCGCCTTGCAACACATATGTGGAATCGATCTCCGCTCCCATGGCCCATCAAACCTTCCATCCTTTCGGGGTCGGCAAATTGGTAGCAGACTTGTCTGAGAGGATAGGAGCACGAGCTGGATCCATCGGTAGGCGACCTCGAGTCATTGTAAAGACCAGTTATGTATTCAATCACCTCCAAATGATGCTTAATGAAGTAGAATGCATGGCACATCCTTCTGCCACTGATCAACGCAAGGAGCTTTATCCTTTTATCCTTTTTATCAACATCCTTGCGGTTATGTGCCAATTTTTTGTATCTAGAACGCACTTTCACATATTACTTCATCATGTAGCTATCCTAAAGAACTATTCTTTGCTGCCGAAATATGACTGTGATTAAGCTTCGCCAGCCATTCCAGCTATCACGGAGGTTAACATTATTTCCAAATGGAAGCCAAATAGAAAGCAAATATCTCCCAATAACTTAGCGGATTTGATACAGTCTTACCGCCAAAGCCCTGTTGTTAGTTAAGCGATCTTCATTTCTTGAATTGTGATACAAGCGTAGCATAAAGCCTTCTTAAAGTTGTCACTACAGGTAATCGTTGGATATCTTAGGTAGGAGGCACAGACACCACTTGAAAGTGGGATTCTTCTACGATGCTGACATTTCTAGCGTTGGTTTTCACCCTACTTGAATTGCGAGTGCAGATATCGAACTCCTTCTCAACTAAGAAATTCCCGTTAAGTATGAACCTCCACTGAACATCATATTTCGATATTCAGAAACGACTCAACCACGATGAATATCTGTGCAGACTTTAGAACAACGAGCAACAAAACGTCGTGCAGTGAAACCCAGCTCGGCAACCAAATTTTTCTCCGGTTGACGAAAACCGAAACATAAGCCATTGAACAATACACAATTTTATCAATCTTTGGGAAACAACAATCATATGTACCAGCAGGAAAATATCATGTTGTAACCTCAAATATGCAACCAACTAGTCAGTTCAACCTACACGAAGCTGGGTAAAAATTAGTGCCTCTAGCTTTAAATAAGCTCTTTCAAGTCTTAAAATATGGCTAGTTAAACATCTGCACTTTTACTATCAGAAGAAAAACATAAAAGATGTAAACAACATAAATGCTACAAAACGATAAGTTGAACGTAATACAATTGTTACGTGAACGAAAAACAAGTTCTAAAACTTTTACAACTTAGACTCAATAAATGAGCTTAACGTGTTTCCTAACTAAACATGAAATCAACGCGTTTCCTAGCTAGAAGCCTAGTCGCATTGATAAATCTCTCTGACTTAGTCTTACGATACAACTACATCATACGCAGTTAAAGAACACGTACACATGGTCCTCACACAAAAATTAACCTATGGTCAATATAATAAGGCAAGGTAGGAAAATTCATAGGCGCTAAGGTTTCAGTTTACGATACTGGTTGGTAGCTATATTGTCATTTATCGTAACAATAAACTGTGATTATAAACACTGTAGCAAAAGACTAGCGAAAACGAAAAGCATGCTCAGAAAAGAGATGACAAGAAGCTGATGGAACAAATCAAGGTGAATCTTGTTTCCAAACAGCTTTCACTGCGAAGCGAACCGGTTCCAAAGGTAACTGGGGGAGACAGTCGAGCCGCTGAAGGAACTGGTTCGATCTCTAGCGTTGATACGGAAAATATGGTACATGTTTCCATGAATACCTTGCACTAAAAATAAAACACATTCACGACAAGTGCAAGCAAGTTTAAACCTAACAAAGAACAACAAAAAAAACAAACTTGAAATCAAATTAAGCAGTTGAAGACTGACTTCTTTTAACTGTAACAGGTATTCGAATTGGGCTACCCAAACTGATCCATAGTAATGACAACCACAGTGAACCCATTGGAAAAAAAAAACCAGCTCGGTCACAAAACTACCTCTCGCTTCTTCAGGAAGTTTACCAACAGATAACGCAAAAAAATAACCACTATAGTTCGCACAGTCTCCCAACAGTTCACCGCCTCATTGTGGGTGGCAGGTATTCCTGGGTGTCGGGCTGCGAGGTACAGTGGGAAATTCACCCTCCAGCAGGATCTCCCAAGCTGGGAAGGAGTCCAACGTATCCATCATGAAGCCCAGCTAAGAGTAAACCAATACCAGGATCCGTTACCGTCCTGGTATTAAACTAGTCTCATGGTGGCAAACCTCCCTTTAATCCACAAAGTCGGCGACTGACTGCGGTGGTGCGGCGGCAAACGTTGGCCAAGCTGACTTCGGGACTCCAGGGAAACATAACGACTAAACCATCAAAACTCCTAAAAGTGGAGAATATGGAACTCGCATAACCAATGAGGATGGGCCATCCAAGTAACCAGGTAAGTATGGTACGCATAGACCCCAGTGGTTTATCTACTGGCCGGTGTGTGGTGAATCAGGTTGTAGGAGCTCGTACTCAGCGGAGTCATCTACAATGGGCAAGGATCCAATACTTTTATCGGCAAGCTCGTAGAAAACTAGGCCCATGCTGATAGTCCGTTGAGCCAATCGTTGTTACCTTCTCATCAAGTTTTTTATGTTAACATAAGACAGTATTTTTCGAAAAGCAGCACTAATTGATATTATTTTCATCATTAATTTTCTTACACACCATACAAATCCACCTACACTTTCACTAAAGAGATTCCATTAACAACATCACGAATTGAAATAGAATGAAACATAGCAAATACGCAATATAGTGCCGAAACCGCGGCATTCAAATTCACATCGAAACACGAAATTTACCAAGGAATCACCATGAGCATGAAGTACGTAATAAATTAGCAGCATAATGCGCTCTGTGGAACAAAAATAAGACGAGAAATGTATTAGTACTGCAAACACTCTAGGTTCCTTCGGTGAAAGCCTCATGGGTTTTACACGACCTACTTGTAGAACATCTTCCTTAAAATCGAAGAACTCAACAAATTTTCATAGAGTTTATTTTGTCACTCGCAAGAGTTAATAAACTTATTGATGAAAACAGAATAGTAGAGGACATGCCATGCCTTGAAAATGATGAGATAAAAGAGAAACGTACAATAATAAGCGTGTCGAGAGGGTCATATCGACGTCGTAATTTTAGAACCTTGAGCTGCCAACATTTGCTTGTCGAGGTATCGCCGATACTCGTTTGCCGTTCGCCATTGGGTATTTCTCAGGACCGTCTAAAAAACAAAAGAAAAGTTTTCCTTGAATATGTCTACAACCACAGTGATGGTAAGATATTTGCAGAACTCCGAACCACAGGTGTCTGCGGTGGGGAGCAAAGACGTTATTTCCCTTTTCGGGTGATAAAAAGTTTACCACCATATTATGCGGGCCCCTCGTTTCGTCCTTCTCTCAGCCGTGTTTTTAACTTATACGTGCTATCAGCAATCACCCGTCAACGGGGCTGATCTGGGGAGCACAAATCGGCATTGAACCCAGTTAAACTGAATATACCATACTATATGATGAATTTATACTATAGGTGCAATGCCGATTCGTGCTCTCTAGAAGAAACCCATTGACGGGTGTTTGCTGATGGCACTGCTAGACAGAAAACTAGCTGAGAGAAAGACGAAACGAAGAACCTTCATGGTGTTGTAGTGAACATGTTAGCCCCCGAAAAGGTGAATAGCGTGTTCTATCTCCATCGGAGACACCTGCGGTCCGAATTTCTGCAAATATCTCAGCATCAATGTGGTTCTATTTCACATAATACCCTGCCGTGAAAAAATGTAGTAGACAGTGAATAAGAAGCTAACATTATGTCTACAACATTTCGCAAGCACGAAATTGAAAAAGCAAACCAATAAAGTAAAACCTGAGGCCTTTTTGACTTTACGTACTCCACAGCCACATTAGGTAGCCAGTTTCGAGATTTCATTAAATAACATACTGCAATAGTTGCACTACGTGTGCGTCCCGCCTGTATAGATACAATGATACAAAAGATTATTTCCCAAACAGACCGTCATTGAACCTCGGTAATAAAATAAGCAACGTGCATTTACATTGTTTGGCTTACACGAGGTTGATGAAGAGATTTATATTGGCTAAGGTTTCGACGTCTTCGTCTTCATCAGAGACGATGATCAAGGTCGGTGGTCCACAGTTGTTCGCAACATCCCGATGTGGCGTAGTTCGTATCGAGTCGGATCTTCTTCAGTGAAACATCTCTCGAATAAGGCATACTTATCGGCAATTGACTCGGTACGACTACGAAGACGTCACATCGAGATGATACGAACTGTGGACCACCGACCCGGATCATCGGTTCTGATGAAGACGAAGACGTCGAAATCTTAGCCGAAATAAATCTTTTTACCAACCTCGTATAAACCAAACAATTTAAATAGACGAAAAAAATGTCGATTCCTGAACAGCAGTCAACTTCTAGTTCTTGTTCAATCATTAACTGCAATAATGTGTGACTAACACTAGAACGGAAGAAAAACACCTGGCTATCAACTTGCTAAAGCCTCTGAACTCACTTTACAATGAACATATACAGATTTTCCCGTTGAGGAAATATTTTCTATAAATTTCACCGCCGTATCAATCTGGGCTCTGCCAGCAGACCCAAAAAAATCAACCATTGGGATATGGTGAAAAGCAACACCAGCCGCTACCCAATCCTGAAAAATACATAAAGTAAATCATATGTAATAACCAGATTAATATCGAGAAATTAACTTTTTCAGTATTTCTAACTAGCATTTGTGGAAAAGTGGGGTAAAACACTTTATATTAATACCACGCTTTAACAGCCACTACCGTTGATGAGCATTTTTCATCTCTTCTAATCTATGATAGCGTTTCATAAAAGATAATTCACAGCGTGATCTATATAAGACTGATGATGAGGCCAACAGTTGTGTTTTACAAATCTAAACGGGCATAAATCATCTCACAATGAATTCTACTGGTTGAAGTAGAGACTAATAGAATCAAGAAACCTTTGCTAACAAAATACAAGTCTCCATGTTCTACCAAGGTGAGATCGCAATCACTAAGACTCTAGAAAACGTATTTTTCACTTATCTTCGTCGATTACAAATCAATACCCCGAAAATCGAAGAGACTCAACAAACGAGAAATAATGCTTTTCACAAGGTGTCAATGAGGTGAGCGTAAGCCGCCATGCTTCAGAAATTCCAGAAACTTAAAGTCCATTTCTGATTCATTCAAAAATGGTTTTCGACACACCCAAAGCTAAAAAAATTTCCTAAAGATCTTCTCAGTTCATAATTTCTCTAACAATCGGAAAATAACGTGCAGTTTTCGAAAAATTGATAGTTTTTGCACATGTTAATGTGATTTTAAATTTATTATTTACCGACGATTATAAAGCTGGGAATTAGTAAGGATTCAAAACCCTCAGACGTGAACTTAAAACGCTGAAAACTAAAATGCTGGAGTTACCTCTTTATTAACTGTCTACTAGAACTTTCCACGGTAGGGCATTACACGAAATACAACCACAGATGCTGAAATGTTTGCAAAACTCGGGATCACAGGTGTCTCCATGGTGTGGTGGTGAACTCGTTAGCCGTCGGAAAGGGTAATAGCGTGTTCGATTCCCACGGTAAACAGCGGTGGTTCGGAGCTTTGAAAATATCTCAGCGTCATTATGGTCGTATTTCACATGAAATACTGATGTTATAGTTCCCAGGATCGACTTTCTCTTAACCTCGGCATTGGAATATGAATGTGTCGTTTTCTTATTCAGCAATCGCGAGGTTTTTAAACAGAATACATTTACTTCGATAGAAAAGCACAATACAACACAACAGTAGCTGACGTTTCGGCAGTATCGCCTTCTTCAGAGCCGCTGGGTGCGATGGTGCAGTCGTCAACCACATGCGACTATAATCAGCTGTTCTAAACTTCCTCATTGGAAGTCACAAAAAAGCGGCTCTGAAGAAGGTGATACTGCCGAAACGTCAGCTAGCGCTGTATTGTATTGTGTTTTTCTATCGAAGTAAATGTATGCTGTTTAAAAACCTCGCGATTGCTGATGTTATAAACACAAGGCACAATTGAAAACAACAAACCTCTTTCTGGATAACATTATGCCCGTATTTCAGTTCAAAATCTTCAACACAACAAACAACACCACCGATATTTTCCTTCTAAATAAATGAATTTCAACATGTGAGGGAGAAAACTATTACCTAGTGATATTCCTTCACAGAGAACAGGGCTTGACAACTACATGAATGTAGATATTAAGGAGAAAAAAAAAACAGAAAAAAAGTGCAAAGAAGTGCTCCTAACCGTAATTAGTTCTTCCTGCATTGATTTGAAAGGCAGTGCACCAACAACTAAAGCCTGATCTATTCTACTGTACCACATCCATATATTTGGTTGTAGGTAGTTTCGAAGCAGGTTGTAACCCAAGGATGGGTAGAACGCAAGAGTTGTTAGCATTGCTCGAATCTAGACAAGATCAGTACAGCAGTACTTGACGTGACAGCCATAACACGTTCATTTTAGAGCGAACAACACAAATAATCCAACAATATTCCAGCAATGAACGTATAGGTTATTACTGACTTAGAAGAATACTGTAACTGAAGGGTAGCGAACACGAAATCTGCCACAAAGGATAAGGGACAAAGCTCTCGGCGTTGATCAACCCCTAAAGGATGCGCCATGCGTTCGACTTCATTAAGCAACATTGCAGGTAACTGAACGTGTACCTGGCCTTTACAATGACTCGCGATAACCTCCCTTGTGTCGACCCAGTGCTGCTATCTTCCCAGACAAGCCTAGTATCAATCTGCCAATCCCGAAGAGATTGAGGGTTTGGTGAGCATGGCACGCAGGATCGAACGTATGCATCGAAGGACGCCTCTAAGCATTGCGCTACATGAGCCTATATGAATTTGTGTAGTATAAAGAAAAGTATAAAGCAACTTCTTGATTTTCTTCGTATTTTTGTTGAGCAAACGCGAGGTGTTATTATTCTTTGTTCACGATTAAGCTGACGTTTCGGCGGATTTCGCCTTCCTCAGAGCCGCTTCCTATGAGGTTTCCACTTAGTATGTCACGTAGAGACCAACCGCACAGAAGTCACGTGGAAGTATATTATAACATTATAACAGTATAACATTATAACATTATAACAGTATAACATTATACTTCCACGTGATTTCTGTGCGGTTGGTCTCTACGTGACATACCTAGTGGAAACCTCATAGGAAGCGGCTCTGAGGAAGGCGAAATCCGCCGAAACGTCAGCTTAATCGTGAACAAAGAATAATAACACCTCGCGTTTGCTCAACAAAAATATTTTTTATTTGCATATTTGCAAAACTCCGGACCACAGGTGTATGCAGTGGGGAACGAACACGCGCTGTTGTCCTTACCGGGGAGCAGCGCACTTCACCACTACACCATCCGGGTCCTTCGCTTTGCATGTATCTCAGCTAGTTCTACCGATCTTTTTGCCATCAGCAACCACCCGTCAACGGGATTGATCTGGGGAGCCAATATCGGCCTCGAACCCAGTTAAGCTGAGGCCTGGTTATAATCACAATCTTAACTCTTTTATTTACTGCCTTTTTCTTCTTAATGGCAGGGTATGTTGTGAAATATAACTCGTATGATAGTGATTGTGATTATTGTGATTTGTGATTAGATTGTGATTATAACGAGGCCTCAGCTTAACTGGGTTCAGTGCCGATATTGGCTCCCCAGATCAATCCCGTTGACGGGTGATTGCTGATAGCAAAAAGAACGATAGAACTAGCTGAGATACATGCAAAGCGAAGGTCCGGATGGTGTAGTGGTGAAGTGCGCTGCTCCCCGGTAAGGACAACAGCGCGTGTTCGTTCCCCACTGCATACACCTGTGGTCCGGAGTTTTGCAAATATCTCAGCACTTCATACGAGTTATATTTCACAACATACCCTGCCATTAAAAAGAAAAAGGTAGTAAATAAAAGAGTTAAGGTATCGGGTCGGTTGCTGAAAGTTTTCTCAGCTACTGCATTAGTTGTCATTGTGTTTGTAAAAACCGTAGTCGTTTGAGTAACTGTCTATTGAGTTTGCTGAACCAGGGAGGGTGCGAAACTTCGAAACGAAAGCTCCAAAGTTTTCTGCTTCGAGCTCCAGTAGACTACCTAGTATCCAAGCATTTGGAAATGAAGTTCTGAAATTCGGAGTGATGAAATCGACGTTGTCGTCCAGACAATCTAATAGCTCTTTCTCTTTGCTTATCCCTATTTAACATCACATTCTCCGCCAGCAAGAAAAGACTGGTGTTTAGACAATCTCAGTGTTTTGGATTTATTTTCACTTAGATTTAACTGCTTTTTAAGTCGTATTTACTCGAATCTTGTAAAATCTACTCAAGGTTCATTCGATATTACCTTTGTCTAGTCAGGTGATATGCCTTCAGAGATTATGGAGGTTCCTGTTTTTCTATCCGGCACCATCGTTGATCTGTCTGGACGAACACTATCCGGTTATCTAAGACTAGAGAAGATCACTCCCTACATTCAACGCAGACACGCCCCAGTACGGCTATGCCACGACCCCAGGGAGAATCGACTCGACCAGCATTCAACGACATTCGCAAGGAAGACGGAAATCCTCAAAGAGCCGCCATATTCACAAGCAAAATGTTCGAAGAGCTTCATAAATGGCGGTTGCAGAGAAGCGAATCGAATGCAAGAAGTACTGGGATCTATCGAATAAATCCCATTTACTACCTTGGTCGCTACCACTTTCTAAATCCTATGCAAAAAACAAGTCAAACGTTTGGCTAAATAAGAGGAAATGCATGGCGCTAGTTCGATTCCGTTGCGGACCAACCAGCCCTCTCATCGCTCACGGGTCGGAGAAATGTTGCCGGACTTATGCGGGGGCAGAAGTGGTGGGATCCGCACAGCAGACGCGGAGATGTGTGATATAAACAAATATATAATTCGGCACTCGGTTCTTCTTGTGCAGTCTGAACCCTTTTCATTAGTTCCGCTCATTTTCCCACTTTATTAGACAGGGAGTTGAGCAGAACAGCTCTTATGTACACCACTTTAAAACCGACGCACCAGGGACTGAAGTATTTTAATGTTACTGTTCTTTAAAAAATTCGACATGAGCATTACCCTACACTACACCGGTACATATCGAATCTTCTGCTAAACCTAATCTGTTGACGTGGCTCTATTACATCGACAATATAGTCAATCCTGTTGAAGAGAAAACCAAATGAAGTATTAAGAAGCATGTAAACTAAACAAGGAACAGAAAGATGGACCTATAGCTTTGAATGAAGAGAAGACACAGAACTGGACTTAAAAACTTTGAACGAAGAGTAGATGGAAAGCTGGATCTATCACTTTGAATGAAGCGTAGAAGTAAAGCTGGACCTAAGATTTTCAACGTCATGTTCTCACTTTATCTCTCCCAGTGGTTTACCGCATGGTCTCTAAGGTCAGAAGTTCCATAATTCAACTCGGATACCTAGCTAAGAGTAAACTAGTGCTAGCTTTACCGCCTTCCTTGTATTAACCTAGTTCTACAGTGGCAAATCTCCTTCTGATTCTGAAGGGCTGTGAATGTCTGTCCATAACCACGGTCTTGCAAAGCTATAGAAAGGTTTCGATAGAAAAAGGAATATCCCGACCAGAAAAATTCCAGCCAAGTGGAAGTGCTCGCACGTTTCCGCGAAGAATGACCATCCAGTTACCAAGTAACATCAGTATTCCTTTCTACTCCGTAATGAAATCCACTAAGAAAGTACAAGAAAGAGAGTAACGCGTTCACCACCACACCATGCGGGTCTTTCGTTTCGCCTCTCTCTCAGCTAGTTCTCTTGAACTTTTGCCATCAGCAATCACCCGACAGCGGGATGGATCTGGGGAGCCAAAATCAAAAAAAAAGAGTAGGCAGCAAATAATAAGTTAAAATTGTGATTACAACTACAGCCTCAACTTAACTGGGTTCAATGCCGATTTGGTCCCCCAGATCAATCCCGTTGACGGGTAACTGCTGATGGCAAAAGATCAATAGAACTAGTTGAGAGACAGGAGAAACGAAGGACCGGCATGGTGTGGTGGTGAACGCACTCCCCGGAAAGGACAATAGCGCGTTCGTTCCCCAACGTAGACACCTGCGGTCCGGAGTTTTGCAAATATCTCAGCATCATTAAAGTCATAAAGTATGCGTTTTAAAGTGTCACAAGTTGCAAAAGTGATTAGTAAACTCAATAAGAGAACAATACGCTGTACAGGGAACTACAGAACCAACGAATAGAACACGGAACTTCATTCCGAATAGAACGAAAAGCACACCAAATAGCGTACAGTAACTTCAAGGCGATAACCTGTCGTAAACCAAACCGTTCAATTGGGTAAATTCTCAAAAACTTTATATCACAGCATAAGAAATCTCCAATCACAATGAGATATTTTACAAGAAAAAACGTATAAAACAATATAATGATATTGATTAGCCGAACGATTCCACTTTCGTTGCATAGAAGTTTACGTAGGAATGTAAGGTAGCAAATTCACCTCTACCCAATGCACCTAAGTATAGCTACATTAATGTTACGGTTCTTTTAAAAGTTTTCTCTCAGTCACAATTTAATCCAATCACACAAATTTTAGTTAACAGGACTCGAACACCTCTTGATATCCAAGTTATACCGTCACCTTCCAACCCATCACGTGCAAAACAATGAAGAAATAAAAAAAACGAATGATGAAACATTTCATGCGAGTGATACTGAAACAACTGGACACTGGACAAATGGGAAGAAGTGGAAAAAAGAACTGATTGTACGAGAGACCGAAAACACCAAGCCAGGATCGAACCTATATTATGCGGCAGTGCAGTAATCTCATCTAGTTCTTCCATTTCGTACTCTGAAATAATTTGACTGGATGAAATGATGCAACGGCACTTGAAAAGTTAACAATACTAGAAACAGTTCAACAACCATTACCGCATTGTTTAACGCAGCTAGGGCTTTATAGGCATCAGGCGTATTCAGCGCGAGTTTACTAGCGAACTTTGACAATCGCAAGCGATCTTTTTGCGCAACGAGACATTCAATGACAATCTGAAATATCACTGTTTTAAAAAGAAATACAGCAACATATATCTATAGCGTTTAAGTTGGTTATTCTATTTTCTCACTTTAGTTTCAAAACCAGTTCAAATAGTTCCCAGGATCGACTTTCTATTAACCTCGGCATTGGAATATGAATGTGTCGTTTTCTTGTTCAGCAATCGCGAGGTTTTTAAACAGCATACATTTACTTCCATAGAAAAACACAGTACAATACAACACTAGCTGACGTTTCGGCAGTACTGATATACAATCTACTAGGCCAAATGCTTCAATAACGCTTACAAAAAGGGGGCGATTGTGAGAAACATGTATCGAACAGCCACCTCTGTGTGCACTATCAGGGAACTAAAGGAAGAATCGCGCGACTTGGCTCGGCAAATAGCCATCTCCAATGGCTACGAAATAGTAACCCCACGAGATAGGTTTACAAGGAGAACGACGCGCCCACGCGAAACACTTGGCCAAAAGAAAGTCCCGTTTATGTTGCCTTTTATAAGCGATGAAGTAAGCGCAGCTACAAAACGATGCTTAAGAAGGGCAGGTCTAAAGGAATCGGTAGCGATAGTTGAAATACCACCGGCTACTCTACGCCGTCAATTAGTTCGTAACCGCCTGTATGACCGTCTGTGTGAAACAACAAATTGGGTAATTTGCCCTTACGGCAGGGACGGTGATTACATGAGTTCAGGTACGATATACCTGATCTCTTGTAACAATTGCGGAGATGAATATATTGGCGAAAGGGGCAGACCTTTGTGTATCCGTATAAAAGCACACCTAGATGGCAAACGAAAACTAAGACAAAACACCCCACTAGGCACGCATAGGATACAAAAGCACAGCGGAGACGATTTTGAAGTAAAAGTCAATATCCTTGCACAAGAGTCCAAAACACCAGCGCGAAAACTTCTTGAGGCTTTTTGGATAAATGCCAAAAACCATACAATGAATAGCAGAGATGAGTGCCCGGAGGTCATACGCGACCTGATCCCGTACGTTCGCATCGATTTTTGATGTGGGACAGTGCAGTCGTGAACCACATGCGACTATAATCAGCTGTTCTAAACTTCCTCATTGGAAGTCACGAAAAAGCGATGGGTTTTTCGAGAAGTTGTTGATCATGCAATTACCGAAGAGTTTTTCGTTTTTTTGTAAGCGTTATTGAAGCGTTTGGCCTAGTAGATTGTATATCAGTATACCCTTCCAGGCTCTGAAGAAGGCGATACTGCCGAAACCTCAGCTAGTGTTGTATTGTATTGTGTTTTTCTATGGAAGTAAATGTATGCTGTTTAAAAACCTCGCGATTGCTGAACAAGAAAACGACACATTCACCAGTTCAAACATCCATCCGGAATCTGAGCCAAAAGTAAACCAACACCAGGATTATGGATATACCAGTGATGCTGCCCAAGGATTTGGGTTTCAACTCTATCATGGGTGGAGCGTGGAATAACCCAGGTAATTATCTTTCGATGCTGGGAGCTCGCCCAGGAGCGTTGGTGGTTATACCAATGAGCGCATGTTGGTAAATCATGCTCTGGTCCACAAGGGCGGCGAGTGTTTGGGGTGGTGACGACATGGGAAGACTTAAACTAGGCTGACCTCGGGACTCCGGGGAACAACAATGGCTAAACCAGGAAAATTACAAAGAGATGGAAATTATGCTAGGGCCATCACAACCAGTGAAGACGGGCTATCCATATCAGTAAGTTTCAACAAACTCTAAAAATTACACGAGCACGTTTCGTCGAACATAGAAATAAAAATCAAACAGTTCAAGGTAAATGTTTTAGTGAACACGTTGTTCACTAAACTAAAAATGTTCAGCATGACACTACAGCATTTACTGAACCCTTCAAGAATCTTGAAAACAAGTGGAAACTCACTTCACATACGTCGTACTTCTCAGCCAGTTTGAGGCGCTGATCAGAATCACTAACAGCGCGTAGAATTCGACATAACAACTAAAAGAATTGCCTCTTCCAATATGAAATTCGTTACGCTATTCTACAACTTGAGATTTTCGAGGCTTACATCCTTCGGTGGCGCAGTAGAGTTGAGATATAATATGTGGAACAAGTTTTGCCAACTGAACGGGCACAACAACTTTGGTGAATTGAGCACTGCTGTAACAACACCACCAACTTTGAAATGAGAACTAATATCTACTCAGTCTTAATAATTAGTTGAAATTCTGTAAGAAAAGCACCTCGACTATGAAGTGAACCTAGAAAAGTCTTTGGTTGTAATGCACGTTCGACATCGGGCCATCTAAAAAGCAAGGAAGAAACTGATTGGTGACATAGACCAAGAAGATATTCGCTTCTCAGCATACCTGCTTTGCCTAGCTAGAGCGCTCACACAAGTCCAAACAGTTTCTTTGTCCGTCAACCGAAAAGCATCACGTACATTATTAGGATTTGCGAGTGAATGCTGCAACAATGATTGAAACAATCCCTTCAAGGACGAAGTGAAAAGAATACACACAGGAAAGTTAAAATTTTCCCGCCTTCACGTCTACTCTAGGTATCCTAACACTTCCCATATTCGCTTCATTTCTTCACATCCATTATTCACAAAGGTCTTCCTACTCTTACGAATGGCTTCAATTGCTGCTTGAGAGCTTTCATTTCATCTTATAATGTTGGTCTAGTCGATTCCTCCTGCAGTCCCGAGCTAGCTGGGCTGTAGCGTTCCCAATTGAAGTGCAGAAAGTGATTTGCTCCAGAACAAAACCGGTACCAATTTCTTGACCCCGGAGGGATGAAAAGCTTGGTTAGCTCGGAGCTGGAGCGAACCAGAACCGTGCTAGTGATGACCGGCATCACTACCACTACGCTGTCTACCCCTTTAAGAGTTAAGTTTCTCTACCTAATACATTCTTCCCGTCCAACACGCTGGCGCATTTAATATATCTTTGGCGTGAATTAATCACGAGTTTCCTTTCCTTCAAGAATATAGTTTTCCTTTAATTTTTTAGTTTTAACGGAAGCAAAGAATAACTAAAACCATGTGGTACCCATCGTTCGAAAAAATGGATTGCTACTCTAAAGACGAGAATATTACGTACTGCTGGATCGTCGTAGTGGTACAGGCAACAATAATAATATGTAGAAATAACGGATCTTCCAACAAGACTTGCATTCTTCGGAAAAGCACTGAATGTAGCACTTTTGTTCTGATCATCCGCAACCTCAATTGACCAATACTAATTTTAAAGTTCTAAAAGTGTTTGTAGCAAAGAAAACTAGAAATAGAAACATACATTGATTGGGATCTGTCGCTCTAAAAGACTAACATAGTCGTTGACAACTGCTGCCTCGGGTGCAAGAAATGGGTCGCTGAAGCCGCTTCGGACACACTTTCTCAGAGCTTGAATCTATACTGACTGCATTTAAAATACAATGGAAGAACAACCGAAAGGCGAACCACCTTCTGCTCATGGACTTGATGACGAACTGCAGCTGAGAATTCCACCATAGCAGCATCGGCATTTCTACCTAGCGCACTTAAATTCATGAGCCGGTCATAAACTGGATAACGTCATCTATTACGAAGTAGTTACACTTACAACAACGTTGTCGTTAATTCATCGTAGTCACGATTAAGTTTTAAATAAGATATATATTCATCCGCTGCCTGAGGTCTTCTCAAAAGGATATCCCGGAATAGTGAGTCCATCAAAGTGTTTTTGAGAAACAAAACAACCTAAAATCAAAATAATAACCAAAGAAGAACATAGTTATTTATGACCAACCGTTAAAATGACGTTCCCGTCAATTATGTCTATTGCAGCATCCAATAACTGCAGCTTCTCCTCTTTAGATCGATACCATTCCAGCGAGACTGGATCTCCCTTGAGTAGCCGTCGTACCGCTTCTTTGATGTCAGGAGCACGATAGCGGTCATACCGTACAGCCTGAGCACACAAGAAAATAGCTGGTGGTGGACTATCAGTGATTATAATCTTCATCGATAATGACATGTGTCATAGAAAACTACTGCACCTCCTTGACATTTCAATGGCACAGCCCATTAAGATGACTTCTATGATTTCGCACAAATTCTGGACGCAACTACCGAACGATTTTTCTCAGTTGCGTGAAAACGTTGTGCATAAACAATGCGTCAGAAAAACTCACACTTTTAAGAAGTAATTTAGTGCCAAAATAATTGCTGTTATAAAAAGTTGTGTAGATAAGATTTAAGCGACATATACAACCTCTAAATAACGCTGTAGTTTTCGGTGTTCCGCTTTCAGTCGCGAATAGTCGAGATCGAGTCGATTCGCATCGCTTGGCAAACTGCTCACACTGCATTCCGAGACTACAGAAGCGGCTGATGGACCACCTTCATGCAAAGGTGACGTTTCAACCTGAAGTTGGGCCTATTAACACGGAGAACTTACTGCAGCATAGTCACAATAAAAGGTGAAAAACCAATCCCTACAACAGACTACTTTATCGTGACCAAGGGATATTGCTGGGACTGCAGGTTCGACCTACAGCCGGAATAGTACACCATGAATCGCCTTTTCCCTGCTAGAAACCTAGTCGCAACAGCGATGAAATATCAACGACCTGACACAGCTATCATGGCATTTGGAAGAAAAGGAAAGCCTTCGCCAGTCAATAGAATAGCGGTTCAGTGGAAAAAGCGTTGCTGTCCACGACACCAAAGAAAAAGAGCTATTCAAGCATTACTTGGATACTTGGATGGTTCTTCTTCACTGGTTTTGCGCGCCCCAGCATAATTTCCATTGTTTTGGAATTTTACTGGTCTAGTCATTGTGGTTCTCTCGAATCCAGAGGTCAGTCAGTCCAAAGTTTGCCCATTCAAGTATTCAAGTAGGAAAATATCTGATGGCAAATATTCCCAATGATAATTTTAAAATACCACAACCTACTAGCGTATCTCACAACTAGAATCCCGCTAAAACAGTGTAAAATACAATTATATTGAGCTCGACGTTCTCTGTGTGTATATAACAAACAAAACAGCAAAATATTAATGTAAACAACACCTTTACCTTAAAATTAGACGTCTTCTGTTTGATGAACTCATCAATAGCTTCTCTTTTATGGACGCCGCCTCTGAATTGAATTCAATTGCAACTGTAGTTGTGTATGTCGAGTGCAGAAGTTCAAATGGAAATGTTTAAAAAACGAACACAGTGGAGTTGACAACTGGCAAAGACGGTGATGGCTGAGATACCTTGGCAGATAGAACTTCTCTCTGGTCGAAAAGACTATCGACGGCCGCTCGTGCTGCCCACTTAAACATAAAGATGCGGTAGAAAACATAAAAAGCCAAATTGAGCCAGTAATTTATAGTAGCTAACTTCTCCGTCTTCTTTACTGTGCCAAATTACCTCGTAAGACGCAGCAGTCTGTACAGAACACATAAATATCATTCTCAGGATCTGCATTTGATGGAGTGCATTTAGGAATGCACTACTACAGAATTCTATCATTGATAAACCTACACGGGGTTGATAAATAAACCTTATTCGGCCAAAGACTCGACGTTTTCGTCTTCATCAGAGCCGAAAAAGCGAGTCAATGACCCATAGATAAAGATGAAGACCTTGAAACGTTAGCAGTATAAGGATTATATATCAACCTTGCAATACCACAATGTTAGTAAAACAAAAGAATGTCGCTTAAAGTTTTTTTTTCTATTTTATTTCATACGACCGGTGTTGACATCTACTGCGCGAATCCCAGCACCTCTTACATTAAATTCGTTTCCAGGCATCCATCATCCACTAAGGTCTTCCAACTTTTACGTGTGGCTTCGGCTACTACTGCTTGAGAATTTTCATTTCATCTTGAATGTCGTAGAATGCTGGTCGAGTCGATTCTCTCTGGAGTCCTGGGCTGGCCGTGCTAAAGCGCGTTCCCAACTCGACTGCACAGAGAGACTTCTTGCCGGACAAGTCCGGTAACATTTTCCCGATCCTGGATAGATTGGTGCGGCTAATGAAGAGTGAAGTAATATACTGCTCTAATTTAAATACAATAAACTCCACAATACAGAAGAGAACATTCAAAAGAAAAAACGAGAACAAAAGACGTCGAAAATAGAGATATAAATAGAATTTTAAGATAATTTGATAAGACTAATATGATTGGCAGGAATCGTAGCTCATTGCTTAGAGGTGTCCCTCAATACAAACATGACTGGTTACTCCAAGGCTAAACGCTCTAAAACAGCTAGCTAAACTGACTCATTGAGTAGCGCTCAACACTATCCTTTTTTAGCTTGATATCACCATTTAGAGCTAAAGCGAAACCAAAACCAGTTATCAGAATATCAGAATCCTTCGAAATACCTGTTTAGATGGCAGGTCGTCAAACAAGGACGACGAATTTGATGCACTTTCATTCCAGTAACTATCCTCTGGATGATCGAATGTGAATTTTTTCTTAATATGTGCCATCCAGTTGAATGAAATTCGTTATTATTGACCGAAACATGTAGACAATAAGGTGAATCTCACTGAAACTCACGATTTAATTAAACAAGCTCACGAAAAAAAGCAAAACAGTCAGTTCGTTGGCAAAAAAATCCGGATAACAAAAGACCTGACAACACAAAGCAAGTACATGCAACGAGATAAACTCGATGAACGAGATGAATGATGAATGAGACAAACACATTGGAACGAACTCACATATTGCACTAGAAATCGAAAAATCGAAAACTTCGAAAAGAAATGAAGTGAACCAATAACGACACTCGCGCTCTGTTTGACATTTCGTTGCGGCGCGTCGCGCGCCTATCAAAATGAACAACATGAAGACATCCTTTCATTTTCTCTTTCATCATCTTCGTCATCGTCGTCATTTCTTTCCATCTTTGATCGTCAAGTTCTGGCGATATTGCAGCAGTTCTTCTTTGTAACTCTTCTGCTTTCTATTTTTAAGTTCTTCGATCCAACTTACGACCGGCTCACAAACGACAGTCTTGTCACTTTTCTCCTCAACACGCCAGGAGGTGGAATTTCATAACACTTAAACAACAACTACGATGCTGACATATTTGCGAAACTTGAATCCAAAACCAGATTCGAACCAGTGATTACCCTTTCCGGGGATTCATGTGTTAATCACTGCACCACTGAGCCCTTTGCTTTGTCTTTCAGCCAGCCAGTTTTCTACCTATGGCCCTCCACATATGCCATGAAAAACAATAATAGACAGTGAGTAAAAATTGTGCTTAAACAACACTTCGAATGTGTGCTTACCTTTGCAAGTTAACTCGACTATGTAAGAAGTCTTAGTCTTACCCTGTATCTAAATTCTAATCAAAAAGGGATTAGACTAGGCAGGAGTCTAACACTTCATAACGAACTGGGAAGGTAAATCGATAGTAGTATGATGTATGTAAGCTAGAACTGCATGACGCGGTTAGCCGTTGGTTCGATGATTCGCCATGAAACCAGGTCATACATCAAAATATATTAGGTGTTTTAACTTCTATCTACTGCCTCTTCTCTCTTCGTAGAATGGTGTTAAGTGAAATACAACCACAGGGATGCTGAGATATGGGCAAAACTCAGAACCTCAGGTTTGCTTCGAACCCTTAGGCTTCTATGGAAAAAGTAGGCAATAAATAAAAGTTAAAATATTGTGATTCCGACTGCAGCTTCAGCTCAGCTGGGTTCAGTGCCTATTTGTGCTACCCAAATCACTCCCGTTAATGGGTGATTACTGACAACCCCGTCAAAGTGAAAAAATCGCGGGTTCAAAGCACACCTGAGGTCCCGAGTTTTACTTACATCCCAGCATCCTTGGGGTTATATTAAATATCTTTACCCATGTGCTGGTGTTAGCCCGAAGTCCAAGATTTGCACAACCAACCAAGCAATCTATTTCTCAGCGTGTCACTTACGCCTATTGTGATCATGCTTTTCAAGAGTACCCACGGATCAAAACAGTGCTATATTGAAGGTTAGTGTTGTTCACTGTACCATGGTATCTCGATGGTACGAAAGCTTCCTACCTGACAGTACCACCTTCGACATTTGGTCGCACTCAGGACGATCATTTGCACTTGGATAACTACACAAATCTTATGGGGTACACCTAAGGCATGTAGCAGATTAGCGAGGACACTTCGGTTAACCCCAAATGACTGGTAAATAACCATCTGAACAATCTTGGCTGTCGAGGCAGTTCTGACATAAATTTTTATGAGCTTCTCGACTTTGGCACACCAAGTCAGTTCAGTGGTTGCGAGTGTCTACTTCTCAATCTTATAGGAATGAACCTTATGAAGAAGATTTCTGCTGTGGATCATATTTGGTACTCGAGATCATTCATCCTACAAGATTGAGGTCCTCAACAAGGACCTCCATAGGGACTTATAACAAGGTTCTGACAAAGAACGTTCTTTTATGCTGTTTAGTTGGAAAAGATGCTATACTATGAACTAGAACTTACTAGAACAAGAATATCAAATAAATCAGGCTACCTACATTTCCTGAGTAGTTATAAAATAGTTTACTGAGACAGGACCAACATCTTTGAAAGTAATGGTGTAAGACATTTAATGATGCTGAGATATTTGCAAAACTCCGAACCGCAGGTGTATGCGGTGGGGAACGAACGCGCTATTGTCCTTTCCGGGGAGTAACGCGTTCACCACCACACCATTCTGTTCCCTCTTTTCGCTTGTTACTCCCCAGAAGCACGTTCGTTCCCCACCGCATACACCTGCGGTCCGGAGTTTTGCAAATATCTCAGCATCATTGAAGTTATATTTCCCAATGTATACCCTGCCGTTAAAAACGAGTAGGCAGTAGATAACAAGTTGAAAAGGTGCAAAACATTGTTGACAAGGTTAATGACGATGATACAGATTTCTAAAAGATAAATTCCATAGGATGTAGTATAGATATACAAGGATAATTATGAATGAAGACAGTTGCTTAACAAATGTTAAATCCATTTAAAAGAATACACTAGTAACATTTAAATAGAGGATTCTGCTTTACCGAACATGCACCGGCAAAGGGATAAAGTGCTACTTCAACAAAGTTCGGAAAATGATGATTCAAAATTGAAAAGTAACGAGTACCATGTGCACGAATCATCGAAGGATGGAGTGTGGATACTTAGAAACAACAGTGATGATCTATAAGATATAACAAGAGAGACAACCGTCTTAGCAAATTTTCTTCCATATTGATAGTGGTATTGTTATAACAGACACGCAAAGCTTCTAAGCGAGATGTTCTTGCATATAACCCAAAAAATTTCTATTAGCATGGCAGTTCGTGTTTTGTATTACTGGATAATCAAATCCGTGCTTTTTGCAATCAAAGAAATATCGGATGTACTGTGAAAAGACGATCTTGGTGAATCAGAACAAGGTGGAGTATTTAAGTGTATCGTTACGATGAAACACTGCTTCGAAGTTGAGGATTTCGGCTGACAACATCGGTAGTTTGGTTGCCACAGTTAATTCACGCCATTTGATGTATTTCCAGTCAGAGGTTGGAATTTCAGTTGTTTTAGGATCAGTCTTTGATTCTGAAGTTCCCTCCTGTGCCTGGGAAAGTATCGCTGATAAATATCAACAATGGAAAAATGAACATCTAGAAGTAGGTATTGGATATAAGATATGCACATTAATTAAAACATAAACCTTTTTGCACATTTGGCTTACCCTTTAAATTTGCAGTAGGTTGGGAGAAGAAATTTTCCATCAGTGAACGTAGGAATTCAACGAAAGTCTTTCATACCAAAGCACAGAGGCTTTACTTGTAAAGAAGTGCGGTGTACACCGATTGACGAAGCTCACCGTCACTCACAAGTAGGATAAGGGATAAGGGGTCTAAAAGCTCCGGAAAGTTAAAAACACAACTTTGGAAAGATCATGTATATCCGGTTATTTTTTAACACTTACTACATATACCTACCAACTTCCAAGCCACATAGTGGGAACTAGAAACAAGCATTTTATGTGACGAGAAAGATTATTGCTTAAAAGTATAAAGGAACCCTAGACCAGTTAAAGACCGAGGGTTTCGCAGTACTAGCTTGTACGCCAATCACGCCCAATTCTGAAATTTCACGGTAAAAACCGATAATAAGCAATTATTTCCCTGCTGGTTAGAGGGTTAGAAAAGTTAGATTTAGACCGCTGAATAAATTAAACGTTCTGAACATCATCAACAAAACGGTCAAAATTAAAACGTTAATTAACGAACAATAACGGTTAAATGACGGTCGGTTTGGAAATTATCTTGCTATTCGCTGTGTGCTAGCTAACATGATACCGACTGCTACAGGGTGTATTATCCGTTGAAAAACAAACTATACTTTCAACGGATAATTTTGTCAACAACAACCGCCCTGTATAAAAGGACACTGACGGGTGTGGATGCCTCATTCGTGCGGTGTTCACCGAGGAAGACCCCGTCTCGGTACGACAACGAAAACGCCATATCGAGGTAACGAACAACTATGGACCACCGACACGGATCATCGGCTCTGATGAAGTCGTGCAAGCGCAACAATTTTAAAAAATGTTCTGAACACAGTTTATCATATCATTGACATGCCAAAAAGGTAACACAGGAGTCTAATAGTATTAGAATCAATGTAGGATCGGCCATACTTCTTGTGGGAAGGTAGGTGAGGAAAGGAATTAATCATGACTGAATCAATACCAATTTCCATCACCGGACTTTATAACTCTTTATTATGTTCTGGTGGAGACCAGTCACACAGAGAAAGAAAGCTGTCAAGGGAATTTTACACGAACGAACGATTTATGGCCTAGACTAGACGTTTTCCATCGTCTTTGATTGCCCTCGGTCGACTAATTGCAAGAATTCCTGCTGACACAGTGCCGGCATTTTGCAAGAATACTACACAGACGAAACCAATCCTCTCCGATCCATGGATACGGTCGACTGCCTCCGGTGACCATTTAGAAGCGCTCTACCAAGATTACCAGGATCCCACTGATCTCACGGTAAAGAACGCTGAACCTATGTTCACCACGTTAATGAGAAGAAAATATGACGGATCCTCAAGTAACCGGACCCACATGACCACGTCTGTAGATGACAGTAGTAAAATTACCAAATAAGTGGGAAAAGTGGTGGCTACGGCACAGCATACGACAGTGGGTCATCGAAATACCTAAAATTTCATTGTATCGCCGTTGGTGATAAGTCGTCCACACCATAATTAAATCCTAAAGCGTGACCCACTGGCGAAATAAGAAAACTCAAACTTGCAAATTAACCGAAAACCAGGTAGGAACATGGGTTATTTTATCATAGAGAAGCTCTACATATAACTGACAACAAACCGTTTTCGAATCTCCGTCTGGAGAGCACACAGAGTCCGAAACAAAAGCGCTGTCATCTGTACTGGCATTTGCACTGTCGTCATGAGGTAAACGTGAATGAACTCCGTGATC